TGTATGGTGTAGGAGGTAGGTTACTGAAAGCAGTGAAGAGTTTTTTACGAGGATAGTGAGGCTCAAGTTAGAGTATGTAGGAAAGAGGGAAATTTTTTCCCAGTAAAAGTAGGCCTTAGACAAGGATGTGTGATGTCACCGTGGTTGTTTAATATATTTATAGATGGGGTTGTAAGAGAAGTAAATGCGAGGGTTTTGGCAAGAGGCGTGGAGTTAAAAGATAAAGAATCACACACAAAGTGGGAGTTGTCACAGCTGCTCTTTGCTGATGACACTGTGCTCTTGGGAGATTCTGAAGAGAAGTTGCAGAGATTGGTGGATGAATTTGGTAGGGTGTGCAAAAGAAGAAAATTAAAGGTGAATACAGGAAAGAGTAAGGTTATGAGGATAACAAAAAGATTAGGTGATGAAAGATTGAATATCAGATTGGAGGGAGAGAGTATGGAGGAGGTGAACGTATTCAGATATTTGGGAGTGGACGTGTCAGCGGATGGGTCTATGAAAGATGAGGTGAATCATAGAATTGATGAGGGAAAAAGAGTGAGTGGTGCACTTAGGAGTCTGTGGAAACAAAGAACTTTGTCCTTGGAGGCAAAGAGGGAATGTATGAGAGTATAGTTTTACCAACGCTCTTATATGGGTGTGAAGCGTGGGTGATGAATGTTGCAGCGAGGAGAAGGCTGGAGGCAGTGGAGATGTCATGTCTGAGGGCAATGTGTGGTGTGAATATAATGCAGAGAATTCGTAGTTTGGAAGTTAGGAGGAGGTGCGGGATTACCAAACTGTTGTCCAGAGGGCTGAGGAAGGGTTGTTGAGGTGGTTCGGACATGTAGAGAGAATGGAGCGAAACAGAATGACTTCAAGAGTGTATCAGTCTGTAGTGGAAGGAAGGCGGGGTAGGGGTCGGCCTAGGAAGGGTTGGAGGGAGGGGGTAAAGGAGGTTTTGTGTGCGAGGGGCTTGGACTTCCAGCAGGCATGCGTGAGCGTGTTTGATAGGAGTGAATGGAGACAAATGGTTTTTAATACTTGACGTGCTGTTGGAGTGTGAGCAAAGTAACATTTATGAAGGGATTCAGGGAAACCGGCAGGCCGGACTTGAGTCCTGGAGATGGGAAGTACAGTGCCTGCACTCTGAAGGAGGGGTGTTAATGTTGCAGTTTAAAAACTGTAGTGTAAAGCACCCTTCTGGCAAGACAGTGATGGAGTGAATGATGGTGAAAGTTTTTCTTTTTCGGGCCACCCTGCCTTGGTGGGAATCGGCCGGTGTGATAATAATAAAAAAAAAAATGTTAAACCTAAAACCCAATCTAACTTTATTATTTTTTAAATACACTACCTAACAGAATACTCCATTCTACTGAATGTACAACAATGCATGCAACCATATGACCTGTCTTTGTAATACTCAATTGTGCTTTATAGTAATCTGTTTACAATAATGTTTTATCACTGATTTTATCATTGCTTAGTTAATCTTAAGTTAATTTTAAGCCAGCCCGTAATGCTATGCATAGTATAAGTGGCTTTGGCATGCTGCTCTTATCTGTATTTTTTTGTACCTCCGTATGTGTGTGCTCACGGTAAACCATGGATAACTGAAACAACAGAAACAAAATCTGCAGATATGGGGGTTCTACTGTACAGCTAGGTCTCAAATGAATCCCGTGGAGTGGTGACATTATATGAATTTCCACTGCAGTACGTGTATTTGAATTATACCGTATTTTCCAGCATATAAGGCGCACTTAATTCCCAAAGTCTTGGAAAATCAACCTGTACCTAATGTGCTCAAGGTCAGTGTCGTAAAGTAAAAGGACACAAGTGCAACTAATGTGACATTTTATTGTGGCAACGTTTCACTCTCCAGGAGCTTTGTCAAGCTTGACAAAGCTCCTGGAGAGCGAAATATTGCCACAATGAAATGTCACATTAGTTGCACTTGTGTCCTATTACAGTGGACCCCCGGTTAACGATATTTTTTCACTCCAGAAGTATGTTCAGGTGCCAGTACTGACCGAATTTGTTCCCATAAGAAATATTGTGAAGTAGATTAGTCCATTTCAGACCCCCAAATATACACGTACAAACGCACTTACATAAATACACTTACATAATTGGTCGCATTCGGAGGTAATCGTTATGCGGGGGTCCACTGTACTTTGCATATTGTCGGTAATTTTACCAACTTTATTACAAGGTCAGTGTCAATGGTAAGCTTTGGGTTACATTTCAACAGTTATTTACTAACATTACAATTTCCTGGAAACATCCAGCAATCCTAAGAGCGTAATAATATTATTTTTATTTTTTATTAGCACACTGGCCAATTCCCACCAAGGCAGGGTGACCCAAAAAAGAAAAACTTTCACCATCATTCACTCCATCGCTGTAATAAACAAATCAGCTTCAATGGTTGTAAATAATCATGAAGTATCAGAGTCATGAGTCCTTGTCTGGCAAACCACTCGTTGAAGTAAGACAGATCTCCGTAAATGTGTTTAACTTACAGTGGAAGATTTGTTTCATTGAGAGGGGCATGGAGTAGCATTCAACATGGTACAGCCTTTCCTCACTTAATGACGGATTTCCATTCCTAGTACCACGTCAGTAAATGAATTTGTCGCTAAGTGAGGAGCATGAAAGTGAGTTTGTGTCAACCATCTTTGATATTGTTTTAATGTCACCTTTGCCCCATTTCTAACAGTTTTAGTATATTTTTAAATGTTTATACAGTAGTGTACTGTATATTGTAATAAACAGACTAGAGGAAATCAGCTCTAATATACATTATTTAGGTATGCACGCTGGTCAGAAAGGCCGTCGTAAGTCTGTGTTGTCAGTAAATGAGTACGTCGCTAAATGAGGAGAGACTGTATGCAAATCTAAGGATAAATACGATTACTGATTTACTGACAATTAGGTGTGAGTGCAGGAAGCCCCTTAGTATGCAGAATACTCGGGGCAAACATTACAAAGAGGTTGGTGATAGGTAGTACATATTTTAAGAAAAGGGTAAATGGGTATATGAAATACAATACAGGGTATAATGGCAGTAATTTGTTGGGTTTTAGATCAGAAGAGCCAAGGCTTTGTAGCAACAAGTAAAAATACAGTGGACCCCCGCTTTACGATTAGCTCCCAATGCAACCAATTATGTAAGTGTATTTATGTAAGTGCGTTTGTACGTGTATGTTTGGGGGTCTGAAATGGACTAATCTACTTCACAATATTCCTTATGGGAATAAATTCGTTCAGTACTGGCGCCTGAACATACTTCTGGAATGAAATAATATTGTAAACCAGGGGTCCACTGTATCATTTCTGAAGCTAAAGTGAGAGCAACTGCCAGAGGGAATGATGGTTTCTCTGCTAGTATGGGCTCGTGCTATAGATTCATGAAGAGGAACGGATTAGCCATGTAGACAGAAAGTAAAAGAGGACAAAAAGTGCCCATGGAGTGAGACCAAAATTCTTGAGTTGCACCTGTATGTCATAACCTTTGATATACCGTTGATGAGTTTCAAGAATCTCTCTACTCTCAAAGCCTAGCCATGGGCCAGGCTTGTCTGGTGTTTGCCTGGTTAACCAGGCTGTTGCTGCTGGAGGCCACCACAGCATAAATGCCAGAAAAGAAACAAATTTTGAAATGGGACAGATTGCAAATATGGATGAAGTCCCAATTTAGTTTGAGGTGCCCTCTAATAAGACTGATGATAAAAGTGGAGAAAATTCTCCAATAAAGGGGGTATCTCTCAGGCCTCTGAGGGACTCAGCCCTCCTGGAAGGGGCTAGTGGACTCCTCTTTACAAACAACTTCTTTAAACCCACATGTTTGTACCACAACTCCATGGGGAAGTGGAACAGAATTCTTCCTCTGTAAGCCATGCGTGTCGTAAGAGGCGACTAAAATGGCAGGAGCAAGGGGCTAGTAACCCCTTCTCCTGTATAAATTACTAAATTTAAAAAGAGAAACTTTCGTTTTTCTTTTTGGGCCACCCTGCCTCAGTGGGATATGGTCAGTTTGTTGAAAGAAGAAGAAAAGGAGAAACGTTCATTTTTCCTTTTGGGCCACCCCGCCTTGGTGGGATACGGCCGGTGTGTTGAAAGTAAGTAAGTTTGTACCACAGCGTCACGAGGCACGCCTTCCTCTCCCTACTAGAGTTCCTGATCAACTACACAACAAGGTTAAATGAGAGTAATTACTCTTTCTCCATAGTAGGAAAATTAAGGGAAAACCTGTGCCTCACTTTATTTACAGGTTGGGACTATTAGGAATTCCAGTAGTCCTGGTTCTCCAGGACTTGAGTCCTGGAGATGGGAAGTACAGTGCCTGCACTCTGAAGGAGGGGTGTTAATGTTGCAGTTTAAAAACTGTAGTGTAAAGCACCCTTCTGGCAAGACAGTGATAGAGTGAATGATGGTAAAAGTTTTTCTTTTTCGGGCCACCCTGCCTTGGTGGGAATCGGCCAGTGTGATAATAATAAAAAAAAAAAAACCTTGAACAAAAAGTATTTGAGGTGGTCAGTCCCTCAGCCTGGACAATTGTTCAGCTCCATGGAGCTGAACTTTTCATAAGAAAAAATGACAGTATATAGAGAAGTTTTATAAGAGAGATGACTGTACCTGGCAGTCTCATGCAAGTGAAACCAGTACAAATGAAGGTTGCCTGTCATGTGTATGTTCTTAGGGGAAAGTGAGCAATTACAGCTGTCATCCACCACACAATAGACAGCTGTCATGTACCATACAATAGACAGCTGTCATCCACCATACAATAGACAGCTGTCATCTACCATACAATAGATAGCTGTCATCCACCATACAACAGACAGCTGTCATTGCCAACCAACTGAGAACCTCCCTTAACTTGACCATCTACCAGAGATGTATGCCCATCCCACCATCCCCCATACAGGTTTACCGCTTTCCATAAACATAATACCCAAATGGGAGAGAACAGAGCCTTGAACATCGGCTGGAAATTCAAAAATAACACTTACTCATCTGCCGATTCCGGAGGCGATATCTGGGGTCGTTCTTCAGTCGGCCTTCGTATGGATGATGTCACTATAACCTGTAGCGGTCGTTCATTCTCTTTCTTTATAAAGTTGCTGTGAACCACAGTTTCTGTCTGCTGTTTGGTTATGCCAGTACTGAACGCAAAGCCAGAGTTTTTAGCACTGATCGCAGAGCCCACAGCATCATTTGCACTGATCACAGAGACGGTAGCATCTTTTTCTGTGATTAAAGGTCTGACAACATCCCTTGTACTGATCGCAGAGCTCACAGCATCATTTGCACTGATTATAGAGCTCAGAGCATCATTTGAACTGACCACAGAGCTCACAGCATCATTTGCACTGATTATAGAGCTCAGAGCATCATTTGGACTAATCACAGAGTCCACAGCATCATTTGTACTGATCACAGAGCCCACAGCATCATTTGCACAGATTACAGAGCGCACAGTATCACTTGCACTGATCACAGAGCCAGCAGCATCACTGCCAGTAATAACAGAGTCCAATGCTTCATGATTTGCAATCACAGAGCCCATGACTTGAGTGCCTAGAGTCACGAAGTCCATAACGGTAATGTTTCTGACCCCAGACCCCAAAACATCGTTTGCTCTAATAATCCAGTTCTGAAAAGAAAAAAGATTTATTGAATATTTTTCAAACCTTTACAACATTTTGGCATTCATCAGTAATCATAAATACAGGAGGGCCCCACTTTACAGCGCTTGGATTTAGTGTTTCACTAATACATCGGTTTAAAATTATACGCATTCTAACTTCCTACAATATATTCACTATAAGCTAAGTAAAAAAAATATTTTAAGGATAGTAATGTGTGTATTATATATGCATTTTTTAAGGCCTAGTTTCATGGCTCACTTAATACATGATGGTGTAAACACGTCATCAGGCTTTTGTATGCATTAGAAAGTGAAAAAATTATACGCATTCTAACTTCCTACAATATATTCACTATAAGCTAAGTAAAAAAATATTTTAAGGACAGTAATGTGTGTACTTTTTTTTTTTTTTTTTTATTCGCCGGTATTCTCCCGGCCCGGGTCTTTTCCAAGTAGTGGTGACCCGGCCTTGGCTCCCTATCTGGGGAGTGTCTCGAGACTTAAGTCTCCCATGGGAGGAGGTACAGTACCTCCTCATCTTTGGGACCAAGCGTCCCCAGGCCTAGCCACATTCCCCGCCCTCACGGGGCTCGTAGGAAGAAGCTAGGCCTCTGGTCTGCCATCTACCCCGCCTCAAAGGGGCTCGTGGGGATGGCAGTCTTATGAGCTGCAGACGGTAGCAAGCTCTCAACGTGTGTACTGTATATGCATTTTTTAAGGCCTAGTTTCATGGCTCACTTAATACATGATGGTGTAAACACGTCATCAGGCTTTTGTATGCATTAGAAAGTGAAAAAAACAAAAAAACAGCTACATTTCACTATACAGCAGTAGCCTGGTACCTAACCTGCTGTATAAGCAGGGTCCTGTACAGCAGTAGCCTGGTACCTAACCTGCTGTATAAGCAGGGTCCTCCTGTACAGCAGTAGCCTGGTACCTAACCTGCTGTATAAGCAGGGTTCTCCTGTACAGCAGTAGCCTGGTACCTAACCTGCTGTATAAGCAGGGTCTCCTCCTGTACAGCAGTAGCCTGGTACCTAACCTGCTGTATAAGCAGGGTCCTGCTGTACAGCAGTAGCCTGCTACCTAACCTGCTGTATAAGCAGGGTCCTGCTGTACAGCAGTAGCCTGGTACCTAACCTGCTGTATAAGCAGGGTCCTCCTGTACAGCAGTAGCCTGGTACCTAACCTGCTGTATAAGCAGGGTCCTGCTGTACAGCAGTAGCCTGGTAACCTAAACCTGCTGTATAAGCAGGGTCCTCCTGTACAGCAGTAGCCTGGTACCTAACCTGCTGTATAAGCAGGGTTCTCCTGTACAGCAGTAGCCTGGTACCATAACCTGCTGTATAAGCAGGGTCCTCCTGTACAGCAGTAGCCTGGTACCTAACCTGCTGTATAAGCAGGGTCCTCCTGTACAGCAGTAGCCTGGTACCTAACCTGCTGTATAAGCAGGGTCCTCCTGTACAGCAGTAGCCTGGAACCTAACCTGCTGTATAAGCAGGGTCCTCCTGTACAGCAGTAGCCTGGATCCTAACCTGCTGTATAAGCAGGGTCCTCCTGTACAGCAGTAGCCTGGTACCTAACCTGCTGTATAAGCAGGGTCCTCCTGTACAGCAGTAGCCTGGTACCTAACCTGCTGTATAAGCAGGGTCCTCCTGTACAGCAGTAGCCTGGTACCTAACCTGCTGTATAAGCAGGGTCCTCCTGTACAGCAGTAGCCTGGTACCTAACCTGCTGTATAAGCAGGGTCCTCCTGTACAGCAGTAGCCTGGTACCTAACCTGCTGTATAAGCAGGGTCCTCCTGTACAGCATAGTCTGGTACCTAACCTGCTGTATAAGCAGGGTCCTCCTGTACAGCAGTAGCCTGGTACCTAACCTGCTGTATAAGCAGGGTCCTCCTGTACAGCAGTAGCCTGGTACCTAACCTGCTATATAAGCAGGGTCCTCCTGTACAGCAGTAGCCTGGTACCTAACCTGCTGTATAAGCAGGGTCCTCCTGTACAGCAGTAGCCTGGTACCTAACCAGCTGTATAAGCAGGGTCCTCCTGTACAGCAGTAGCCTGGTACCTAACCTGCTGTATAAGCAGGATCCTCCTGTACATCAGTAGCCTGGTACCTAACCTGCTGTATAAGCAGGGTCCTCTTGTACAGAAGTAGCCTGGTACCTAACCTGCTGTATAAGCAGGGTCCTCCTTTACAGCAGTAGCCTCATACCTAACCTTCTATATAAGTAGAGTCCTCCTGTACAGCAGTAGCCTGGTACCTAACCTGCTGTATAAGCAGGGTCCTCTTGTACAGCAGTAGCCTGGTACCTAACCTGCTGTATAAGCAGGGTCCTCCTGTACAGCAGTAGCCTGGATCCTAACCTTCTGTATAAGCAGAGTCCTCCTGTACAGCAGTAGCCTGGTACCTAACCTGCTGTATAAGCAGGGTCCTCCTGTACAGCAGTAGCCTGGTACCTAACCAGCTGTATAAGCAGGGTCCTCCTGTACAGCAGTAGCCTGGTACCTAACCTTCTGTATAAGCAGGGTCCTACTGTACAGCAGAAGCCGGGATCCTAACCTGTTGTATAAGCAGGGTCATCCTGTACAGCAGTAGCCTGCAACCTAACCTGCTGTATAAGCAGGGTCCTCCTGTACAGCAGTAGCCTGATACCTAACCTGCTGTATAAGCAGGGTCCTCCTGTACAGTAGTAGCCTGGATCCTAACCTGCTGCATAAATAGGGTCCTCATGTACAGCAGTAGCCTGGTACCTAACCTGCTGTATAAGCAGAGTCCTCATGTACAGCAGTAGCCTGCAACCTAACCTGCTGTATAAGCAGGGTCCTCCTGTACAGCAGTAGCCTGGCACCTAACCTGCTGTATAAGCAGGGTCCTCCTGTACAGCAGTAGCCTGGTACCTAACCTGCTATATAAGCAGGGTCCTCCTGTACAGCAGTAGCCTGGTACCTAACCTGCTGTATCAGCAGGGTCCTCCTGTACAGCAGTAGCCTGGTACCTAACCTGCTGTATAAGCAGGGTCCTCCTGTACAGCAGTAACCTGGTACCTAACCAGCTATATAAGCAGGGTCCTCCTGTACAGCAGTAGCCTGTAACCCAACCTGCTGTATAAGCAGAGTTCTCCTGTACAGCAGTAGCCTGGTACCTAACCTGCTGTATAAGCAGGGTCCTCCTGTACAGCAGTAGCCTGGTGCCTAAGCTGCTGTATAAGCAGGGTCCTCCTGTACAGCAGTAGCCTGGTACCTAACCAGCTGTATAAGCAGGGTCCTCCTGTACAGCAGTAGCCTGGTACCTAACCTTCTGTATAAGCAGGGTCCTCCTGTACAGCAGTAGCCTGGTACCTAACCTGCTGTATAAGCAGGGTCCTCCTGTACAGCAGTAGTCTGGTACCTAACCAGCTGTATTAAGCAGGGTCCTCCTGTACAGCAGTAGCCTGGTACCTAACCTGCTGTATAAGCAGGGTCCTCCTGTACAGCAGTAGCCTGGTACCTAACCAGCTGTATAAGCAGGGTCCTCCTGTACAGCAGTAGCCTGGTACCTAACCTGCTGTATAAGCAGGGTCCTCCTGTACAGCAGTAGTCTGGTACCTAACCAGCTGTATAAGCAGGGTCCTCCTGTACAGCAGTAGCCTGGTACCTAACCTGCTGTATAAGCAGGGTCCTCCTGTACAGCATTAGCCTGGTACCTAACCAGCTGTATAAGCAGGGTCCTCCTGTACAGCAGTAGCCTGGATCCTAACCTACTGTATAAGCAGGGTCCTCCTGTACAGCAGTAACCTGGAACCTGACCTGCTGTATAAGCAGGGTCCTCCTGTACAGCAGTAGCCTGGTGCCTAACCTGCTGTAAAAGCAGGGTCCTCCTGTACAGCAGTAACCTGGAACCTGACCTGCTGTATAAGCAGGGTCCTCCTGTACAGCAGTAACCTTTTACCTAACCTGCTGTAAAAGCAGGGTCCTCCTGTACAGCAGTAACCTGGAACCTAACGAGCTGTATAAGCAGGGTCCTCCTGTACAGCTGTAGCCTGGTACCTAACCTGCTGTATAAGCAGGGTCCTCCTGTACAGCAGTAACCTGGAACCTAACCAGCTGTATAAGCAGGGTCCTCCTGTACAGCAGTAGCCTGGAACTTAACCTGCTATATAAGCAGGGTCCTCCTGTACAGCAGTAGCCTGGAACCTAACCTGCTGTATAAGCAGGGTCCTCCTGTACAGCAGTAGCCTGGTACCTAACCTGCTGTATAAGCTGGGTCCTCCTGTACAGCAGTAGAGTGGATCCTAACCTGCTGTATAAGCAGGGTCCTCCTGTACAGCAGTAGCCTGGTACCTAACCTGCTGTATAAGCAGGGTCATCCTGTACAGCAGTAACCTGGAACCTAACCAGCTGTATAAGCAGGGTCCTCCTGTACAGCAGTAGCCTGGAACCTAACCTGCTGAATAAGCAGGGTCCTCCTGTACAGGAGTAGCCTGGTACCTAACCTGCTGAATGAGCAGAGTCTTCCTGTACAGCAGTAGCCTAGTACCTAACCTGCTGTATAAGCAGGGTCCTCCTGTACAGCAATAGCCTGGTACCTAACCTGCAGTATAAGCAGGGTTCTATTGTACACCAGTAGCCTGGATCCTAACCTGCTGTATAAGCAGGGTCCTCCTGTACAGCAGTAACCTGGAACCTAACCTGCTGTATAAGCAGGGTCCTCCTGTACATCAGTAACCTGGTACCTAACCTACTGTATAAGCAGGGTCCTCCTGTACAGCAGTAAACTGGAACCTAACCTGCTGTATAAGCAGGGTAATCCTGTACAGCAGTAACCTGGTACCTAACCTGTATAAGCAGGGTCCTCCTGTACAGTAGTAACCTGGAACCTATCCTGCTGTATAAGCAGGGTCCTCCTGTACAGCAGTAATCTGGAACCTGACCTGCTGTATAAGCAGGGTCCTCCTGTACAGCAATAGCCTGGTGCCTAACCTGCTGTATAAGCAGGGTCTTCCTGTACAACGGTAGCGTGGTAC